GAACCCCCCCCCCCAACTGCACCCTGGGCGCCGCAGCAAAAATGGCTTCAGTGACACGATTCTTCAGAAATATTCTAATTTGATAAGAAGAAATGTTTCTTGAGCAATAATGTTTTGATAAATATAAAGAGGTTTTTACAGTCACTTTTGACAAATTTAATGCAACCTTGCTGAATTAAAGTAATTAAAAATGTGTTAAATTGAAGTTTAAAAAAAATATGTAAATATTTGATATTAAAATATTTGGATATTTTAAATATTAAATCTAAATTATCTTTATATTTATATATAGACCTTTCCCCCTGAAGTCCATTTTTAACATTTTCAAGACCGTTTACTGTTGGTTGCAAGCAGACATTCAGGTGGTGGATTATGTGGCATACAATTTAACAGACTGAAGATCTATGACACATACACAGGCGGTTGCCACACAGGTACCCCAGTCAGCATAGGTCTCGACAGTAATATTGGACAGTGCCGTTCGCATCAAAGGAATCAGGAATTTCCATAATGCCTCCACCTGTGTGAATGAAAGAGGGGTTTCAGACATCAGTGTGGTTAAATATCTCAGTGGCTTCCTAATTTTAGTGCATCTCTCATGCCTGCAGCGGTGCTCACCTTGCTGAAGCTCCAGTGCTTGCTGCCTCTAACCAGTCCTGCAATGATCTCAGCCACACAGCGCTGGGTGCTCTCGTGAGAGTCATTTGCCAGCTGCTCCATATGAGGCTTTAGAACAGGCAGGAAAGCATCACTGTAGTTCCGGAAAAGTCCCTGTGGGCGTTGAATGAGAAAGCAAGCCATCTGTATTTTGTAATAAATTCGTATGGCAGGTGAGTAAGGCAGGTTTATGAGCTGGTTAAAATGCAGAGATTTGCAGAGATAGATGTGGCTGGGAGCACAATTATATTTACTGCTCTCCACAAATCATTTATTGAATACATCCTCACAATCTGTGCAATCTCTCGGTTTGGGAATTACAGCTGGGGAAACTGCAACAAAACTGCTGGAATCAGTGAACATAAACAGGATGATAATGATCCAATAAATGCTAACTTTTAAATGTTTTCTCTCTGCTGAGAACCCAAAAATAGAAGTCAGGGGAATTGTGTGGTGACTGATCTTAATGTACTCTCTGCATCTGAGAGTTTTGTATGCACCCTGGTGCAGAGGACAATGTAAGCAAATGTCCAGGACAAACAGTGGCTTGTTAACAATATGTACAGGAACATCTAAAAATATTTCTTCAGATTACAAAGGCTATTCAACATGCTTTCAATGAGAGCCGTGTATGATACACATCATGATACATGAGTCACAATTCAATATACAGCAATGCATCACAATATCATAATTGGATTGCAAATGAAATGGCATCAAACATGTGAGAGAGTGAATCTAAGGTTAAATCTCCATTATGTTGTTCACTTCACGTTTGTCCAAAAATTGTGCAATCTGTAATGGCACAGCATTCATTCTAACCACTTATAATCTACTGTTCAAAAGTTTGGGGTGAGTAATGTTTTTTATTATTATTATCACATATCACATAATTACATATTAGAATAATATCCGAAGGAACATGTGACAACGAAGACTAGAATAATTGCTGCAGAAAATTCAGCTTTGTCATCAAAGGAGGAAATTACTAGATATAAAATATATTAAAATAAAAAAAATATTTATTTTAAATGATAATTTCTCATAACATTACAGTTTAACAATTTTTAATGAAATAAATACAGTCTTGGAGAGAATAAGGTAATAGCAAATTCAAAAACAAAGGGAAAAAAAATCGTACTGACCCCCAAACATTTTGAATGATGGTGCGTATTGGTACAGGTTAGATTGTAATCTCTAGAGACAATATTGTCATATTAAATAGTCAAATAAATCTCCTTTTTGTTGATTTCTTTTCTAGCATAATGCCAAACTGTACTTTTATCTCCACTACCATGATTATTGTGTTACGATGTTGGTACCTTGAAGAGACAGAAGCGACGAGGATTGAACTTGTCTTTGCCCTTTCGGTCCTCAAGAGACAGGAACTCAATGAGCTGTTTGATGAACATTGGTTCTGTGAAATGGTCATAGATGACGCGCTCCCTCTGTCAGAAAATCATATTTAGTATACATACTGTCAAGTTTGGCAGTAAAACAAAGTCTAGCGCAGTCAAGTCCATGTATACCTCATTCATGTTCTCAGCGGAAAGATCCTTGGGCTGCTCCGCTGCTGGGGCATATACCATCAAATTCCTATTAGCAGAGAAGTGGAGAGAGTGAGAAAAATGGCTAGAAGCAGAGATTTGGAGTGAATCATACAGTGATCAGAAGCTGAGAGTGTTTACTTTGGCCAGCAGTAGTAGCCCCAGTGTGTCTTCTCTACAAAGCAGAAATTGTCCCAGTCCTGCTGGGTGTTCGGCAGGCTGTCACCATGGTACTGCAGCCAGTCATTCCCCGGCTTGTCTCCTGCCACCAGCCCCTCCGGCTCTGTTACTCCACCTGCAAGGCACCACATGTGTAATTATCTCCTTCCACAGAAACTGAGATGGACCAACAGATGGATGTGAAGAGTAATTTAATCATCTCCTCATTTAATAGTACTATTTATTTGTTTTTACAGCATTGTTTACTCACTTATATCACAGGGACTAACAGGTATTTTCTTGAGCGGTCTCTTCAGCTGTTTCAGTATGCCTGCCATTGCTGCGATCGCCATCTACATCAGCAATTATTGGAAGCAAAACAATAATATACACAATGTTTTATTTTTTGTACGTGCGATACAGTTTTGCATGTTCATAACACAGCCGCTTAATAGTGTGAAGTGATTTCATTGTGCTTGTTTGTGTGTGTGAGATTGATTATACTTGATGGTTTGGGGTGTGCGATATGATGATTTTTGATCGTGGACGATTAAAATGTCTCCACGATCTGCTTTTGAAGAAATATCGTTGTATCGTGCTACAGTGCACATTCTATCAGCTGCAATTCTGGCGCCTCCCTCAGTCTCAATATAATGTACAATGCCACATGCATTCACATCAGTGTTAGCTCAGCGGTAGAGTTACTCTCACGGGACACTGCACTTATGCGCTACTCAAAAGTACATTATTTGCATCTGCTTAAAAGCCTTGTCGGTGTTCTGACGATTTGTGCTACACTGTCAGATTTTGCTACCTCCCATTAAAACAGAGGGTAGCATAATTCGATAGCGAAAAGTGCTACCTATCAGATTTTGCTTCCAGCATGAT